ACACCAAATTCCGCGTCTTCAAGGGGCAAGGCCTTCCGAATGTGGGAGTGGTGAACCCAGGGAGTGATGCCGTCAACCTTTAGGGCAGTGGGGGTGGTAGACAATACAACATAATGTCCCTTCCATCTGGGTTGAAGAGTTTCTATTTTGTGTCTTTTTACCCAGACCATATCCCCTGGGACTATGCCATGCCCCACAATCGGGGTTCTTCCCCTTCATAGTATGCTTTGATTAGGGGCCAAATTTCTTGCTGTACTTTGGCAAGGGATTGCAACACATTTAAATAGTCGGGGGCTGACTTCTCTTCCCCCGGGGGCTGCGCTCACCGGGTTATTGGTGGAGGGGCCCTGTACATTATTTCAAAGGGAGTTAGACCATGCACGTAGGGGGAGTTTCGAACCCGGAAAATGGCCAAGGGGAGGAGGGCCACCCAGTCACCATCAGTCTCAATTACTAATTTAGAAAGGGTCTCCTTTAATGTCCGATTCATTCTTTCTACTTGCCCAGAGCTTTGTGGGTTATAGGCACAATGTAACTTCCAATCCATCCCCAAAGCTTGGGCTAGTCCCTGTAGGACCTTACTAACGAAAGCCAGACCGTTATCAGAACCTATAGCCTCAGGGATCCCATATATGTGGACTCTCTCCTGTATTAATTTCTTTGCCACCATCTGGCTAGTTTCATGTTTAGTTGGAAAAGTCTCCACCCATCCTGAAAAAGTATCCACCATGACTAGCAAATACTTGTACCCATACTTTCCTGGCTTTACCTCGGTGAAGTCTATCTCCCAACTTCTTCCTGGGGCCCTCCCCCTCTCCCGGATACCTGTCAGGTGGAGCCACTTTGGGGCTGGTCTTAGCTTTGCATAGCTCTTGCATCCCCCATGATCTGACATGCGGCCTCATTCTGGTGTGGAAATACCAACTGTGCATGCTGAAAAAGACTGAGCAACTTCTTCCAGCCTAGATGGGTGGATCTGTGTAGGTTGGTGAGCATGTATTTTCCTAGTACTTCTGGTAAGATCAGTCTACCTTCCCAGTCCCTACTCCAACCTCCCTCCCCAGGCTTTTGTCCCAGAGCTTGTTTTCTTATCCACTCAATGTCCCGTGGGGAATAGACAGGTCTGGGGGGTAGGGTGGGTAGTTTGGGTATGGGTACCTCTAGAGCTGCCAGACAATGGGGTCTAAGAGAGCTACCCTCCTGGCCTCTGCATCATCAAAGTTGTTACCAACATCCTCAGGAGTCTTTCTGGACCGGTGCCCAGGCACATGTATAACTGCCACCGCCCTCGGCTTTTCCACAGCTGCTAACAGTCTTTGGACTTCCTGAAAGTTCTTCAGCTCCTTTCCTTCTGCAGACTGGAATCCTCTTTCCCAGCAGATGGCGCCATGAACATGCACAGTGCCAAAGGCATACCTGCTATCTGTATAAATGTTAGCTCGCCTGCCTTCTGCTCTCTCCAGTGCCTCTGCGAGAGCAATAAGTTCTGCCTTCTGGACTGAGGTGCCTGGGGCAGGGCTGCACTCCAAATGACTTCCCCCTCGTGCGTCAATACCGCTGCTCTGGCTCTTCTGACCCCATCCCACACGAAGCTGCTTCCATCTGTATATCAGTCTAATTCACTATTTGTCAGCCGCGTGTCTCTCAGATCTGCCCGTACCTGGATGATTTCAGAGAGAACATCTCTATAGTCATGGATGGGGGTTGACAGGTCTGGGTCTGGCAGGAGAGTGGCAGGATTCAGGGT